CTTCTTCACGCGAACGCGAAGGGCAATTTTGCCCAGTTATTTAAAATGTCCAAAACAGAACAGTGACGGGAATTTTTCATCAAACACACGAACTCCTTCTTCTCTAAGGTTCTAGGGCGACTTTTAGAGCATTTCTTCATCAAAGCTTCTTGGGTTAGTAAATCTTAACTCGTTTTCTTCATTTTCCATAAATATTTGTTGAATTCCTAAACCTAAAACATGTAATTTAGGGTAGAAATTGGGGGAAATGGGTAGAGTTAGGGCTTTTTACTTTTTCTTGACTTAGACCTCGTTTTAGGGTCGAATTTGAGAACAAATTATATATTCGGGCTCGTGGGTGAATGGGGGATTTGATTTTGGTCCGAACCTCGTGTTTTGACCAAGCAGGCCCGGGGGCGATTTTGGAATTTTGGAAAGAAAGCTTGGAAATCTATAATTAGACATTGGGTTTGATTTGTTTAGCACATATTGATACTATGAAGTCATTATCGTATAGATTTGATTGAGTTGGAGCCGAATTCAAGAGGGAAACCGGTTGTTGTGGATTGATTTGGCCGTGGAAGTTGAGGTAAGTGTTTGGTCTAACCTTAGCTTGAGCGAATAGGAGTAGAGTCTTATTTGCTACTTGCTAATTGTCGAGTACGATGTATAGGCATGGTGACGAGTATCTATACATTGGTGTCTAGCATGACCGTGAGTCCTTATATTGCGAATATCCTGGTTTTTGTTATAGCTCCCATACTTAATTGATGATTTCTATATGTTGTAAAGAGTATGTGAAAGGAAATTGTGATCTTTGAACTTCGTGGAGCGTTGGCTCGAGTTGAAATACAAATTAAGGAGGTATATGAGATATTTAAATCCTTGGAGCGTTGGCTCAAGTGATAATGTGGACTATGAGATGGAAGTGAAAGAAAGAGAAAGAGTTATTGGTTTATTCCCTTGCCGGGACGTTTTGTGTTTTGTTGATTTTCTCCCTTACCGGGACATGGAAATTTATTGATACTGTTCCCTTGCCGGGATTTAATTGTTTAATTGCATTCCCTTGCCGGGATTTTTATCATTATTTATTTACTTTCTTTCCCCTTATTTGTGATTGTTGTTTGGGTGAGGAAGAGTGATAAAGCACGAAGGGTGATGCCGTGCATTGTATGATATTTGTGGATCGGGTTGCGTGCCGCAACAACACTAAATGATATGGATCGGGTTGCACGCCGCAACAATGATATTTGTGGATCGGGTTGCACGCCGCAACAATGCTAAATGATATGGATCGGATTGCACGCCGCAACAATGTTGTTATATATTGGGATCAGGTTGCGCGCCGCAACAATTATTGATACAAGTGTGTTTATTTTGGATATTAGTTTCTTTGTTCGCTGTAAATTCTAAGCTGCCCTTAGACTGTTACTCTGGATTTACTGTTAATACTGGTATACCCCCCTCCCCCCCGCAGCATATTTCCCCCTCCCATCTTTACTTGTTTATTCCTGTTTTACTTTCCGCTGTATATTATATAACTGCACAGGTTTAATCGGTAGTCCGGTCCTAGCCTCGTCACTACTTCGCCGGGTTAGGCTAGGCACTTACTAGCACATGGGGTCGGTTGTGCTGATACTACACTCTGTGCTATTTTGCACAGATCCAGGTTTTGGACAGTAGCAGCAGTAGCGTGGGAGCAGGACTTCAGTCCAGCGAGACATCCGGGTAGCCCTGCAGGCGTCCGCAGGCCCGACGTCTCCTCTATCCTTTATTTTAGTCTGTTATCTCATTGTATTCGAGACAAACAGTTTATGTTCTCTTTCAGACGATTGTATTTAGTATTCTTAGTAGTTCGTGATTATTGTGACACCAGTCTTGAGTAGAGGCTTTTGTTGAATCTTCCGCATTTCTATTCAGTTTTCTATAATATTAAGACTTCCGCTTATTATTTAATTTCGTTGCTTTTGTATTATTGCCGATAATTGTTAAAAAAGGATTATGTTATTAATGAAAAGTAATTAAATTTGGCTTGCCTAGCTCCCATTAGTAGGCGCTATCACGACTCCCCAGGGTGGAAATCCGGGTCGTGACAAGTTGCCTAGATGGCAGGAGGAGCACTAAAGTATTGGTAAGAGCTATGGGTTATGAGAATGATAAGTGCATCAGTCAACATTCGAGGACGAATGTTCCAAAGGGGGGAACGATGTTACATCCCGCATTTTCATATGTTAAAGTTTCGTCGAAAGTTAATCGACGTAAGTTCGGGAATGGGATTATTTTGAAATTATAGGCATTATGTTATTTCAAACAAGTAATGAGTAAATTCGTGAAGGTGAGAGGGAAGCAAGTCAAAGAAAATGAATTTTCATCCAAGTTTGGCATGTTGGGATAAAATACAGGCCGAGCGATAACACCCGATATTTATGGACTAGTACCATACAAGATACCATATGACCACGGTAGTATGATGTATAAAGTATATTAAAAATAAGTAGAATTTAAGTAATTTGAGATAATTTTTAATTATGCGAATAATTGGTTAATTATCGGATAACGGGACATTACCTAATTAACTAATAAGTGGATAAAGATTAAATTTCCCACCCCCATCTCCACGTGGCAACAAGCCACATTCTAAAGAAATGACTCTTAGCCATTCTTTTTAAGTGGCAACTTAATATGCTAACAACAAGACTTGTCAACTTTAAGAAATTCCATACAATATTATAATCAAGGTGGGGAAAGACGTTAATTCATTCTCCTAACCTTTCTACAAATTCATTCTCAAACTTTACAATCAGATGTGAGGTTTCAATGTAATTCCTTACCAATTTTCCACAAAAAACGTGAGTTCTTGCAACTAAAAAGGAATCCAAAGAGAATTATTGCAATGTAAAATTTTGCGATTCTAATGGAGTACGGTGCAACCTTTTCCAAGAACATCATACGGATTTTTCCCTACTCCAGGTATGTTAAGGCTATCCCTTCTTTCTTTGGTATGATCTATACGACACAAACGAAACGAGAAAATGCACAACTTCATAAATAACTCTATTCATAGAAGTATTAGAGGTGCCCATGTTCTTGAATTTCCATGTGTCATATTATTCTATCATCTGTTCATGGGTCTCAGAAAAATACGTAAGTTGAAAAAAAAGTTTACTTCATGATATTACTCGAAGGTATATTGGTCTTATGACATTCCAAGAGATTTATTGACGTACTTCTCATGCATTGCATTCATGTACATTTACCCATGACCAGATGGAGTTATATAGGCGCATATATATATATATATATATATATATATGGGAAAAGGTTATGGTGTTATATACGCACCACCACCTGATCAGCTGGTATACGTTGATGATTTACCCACAGTGGCCGAGATGATATGATGAGATGCCCTCAGAGGCTTGATGATGTTATGAACGCATATACCCATGCATGGTATGACATTTATATGCATATGCACGATATTATAATATTAAATGATTCATAGAATTATTCAGATATACATGTTGAGTCTTTTACTCCATGTTTCTCTTATGTCTACTAGTTACTGATTTTCATTCCTTACATACTCGGTACATTATTTATACTGACGTCCCCTTTGCCCGGGGACACTACGTTTCATGCCCGCATGTCCTGATAGACGGGTCGAGAGTCCTCCAAGTAGGCTATCAGCTCAGCGAAAGGTGTTGGTGCGCTCTATTTGCTCCGGAGTTGCTTCTTTGGTCAGTTTGATTAGTACATGTATTGATTGGTATGGCGGGACCCTGTCCCGACCTTTATGATATTATGTATTCTTAGAGGCTTGTAGACAGATGTCATGTATACGGATACTTGTATGGCCTTGTCGGCCTATGTTTCGAGTATATAAAGAATCATGCCGGCCTTATATGCCCGTACTTCATATGTATAAGTTTGTATTCCCTCATGATTTACTCTGGTTCATTTACCTATGATAAAATGATATGAAAGATACATTATGTTGGTACTCGGTTGAGTAAGATACTGGGTGCCCATCGCGGCCCATCGGTTTGGGTTGTGACACAACTACTACATTAGCCTTGACCTATGTTGATCTGGTGAACTGGAAATCATCTGGAAACCCATTTATCCTGTAACAATCTGCCATGACATGCCCAATTCTCATGCAATGTGTACAGTTTACATTAGGATTAAATTTTGCTTTCCTTCCCTTAGGTTTCTGCTGTGTGTTATTAACCTTTTGTGAGTTAGTCTATGACTTTTGTTGTGACTGATTGTTGTTTCTCTGTGGAGCCTTACCTTGAAACCCTACCATGAATGAGGAAACATCAGCATTGAACTGTGGTCTTGCATATCTCTCTATTTGATTTTCATCTTGTAGAAGGAGTGAATAAGCAAAATCTATTCCAGGCAATGGATTCATCATAAGGATGTTTCCTCTTGCATGAGAATAGACATCATTTAGTCCATTAGAAACTGAATGATCTTTTGGTCTTCTAAGAACTTTGTGACTTTCCTTTTTCCATCACAAACACAGTCATAAGAGTAGACTAGATGAGAGTTGAGGGAGTCAAGTTCATCCCATAATTTCTTAAGTATGGTAAAGTATCCAGCAATATTGTTGTTACCATGAACTAACATTGATATTTCCTTTTGCAGTTGGTACAGCTTGGCTCCATTAGTTTGCCCAAATATGTGTTCAAGGCTATTCCACAAATCTTTTGCAGATTTTGAATAGATGACATTGTCACCTATCTCTTTGGATAAAGTGTTCAGAAGCCAAGAAGTCACCATGAAATTGCATCTGCTCCACTGAGGGTGATCTTGTGCATCAGGTTTTGGCTCCTCACAGACACCATTTATGAAGCCTATCTTGTTTTTGGTTGAAAGTGATATGAGAATTGATCTCCCTCCATCCTGCAAAGCCTCTACCATCAAAAGGTGTGGTAACAAGACTCAAACCAGGAGCATCAGACGAGTGAAGGAAATAAGGACGAGTCACATCCTGTGAAATTATTTGACTGGTTGAACCAGAGGCAATGGGAGTAGAAGGAGTCGGAGGAACTTTTTCTCCTGCCATAGTCGAATACTATATTTTGAGAGAAAAGAGATTTGGATCGAGCTACTGCTGCTCTGATACCACGAAAGAAAATAGGAAAGAATTGTGGAAAATTTTCTCTACCTTTTATTGATAATGTAAATCCCTATATATACAGATTTATCCTACTGTAAATAACAAATAAAAGAATATTTCTATACACTTGTACTACTCCTATTTGTCTACTGTGTAACAGAAAAACTATAAAATATCCTTTCCCATGTGCTCATGTGAGAAGCACGTGAGTTAGGCTTCTTGGAAGCTTCCTTATGTATAAGTGTTTAAATATTGATCAGATGGTTGAGAATAAAAGATCATGACCCTCCATGATTCTTCCACGTGTAGGGCTGGGCTACAATTGATAAAACACTTAGGCACTTCAACACAACATACAGAAGTCCAAAAAACTAAGTGTGTGTCTGAAATATTTCTTCTTTCTTCTTTTTTTGTATGAAGTTCTGTGTGAAAATGGCTGTGAAGATGGTTTCTCTTCATCAATAGGAATGTGTTCTCAAAATTGATGGCATATTCTGTCGGGCCATTAAGCCTCCAAATTCCAATTTAATGAACATGGATATTCTTAACTTTGTTAGCATGGCCTATTTTATTCCAATAGGCCGAATAAAAACAATTTATGTTGATAGAAGGACAGTGGTCACTCTTTGCCATAGTTGTCGAGGAAGTTTCCTCCACACCATTAGATCAAGAGTTTAAGGCTGGTAAGTTGCAACGAACAATAATAATAAGAGCGAGGTATTCTAAAATACCTCTTTTTTCTTATTTATCTCTTTTTTCTAAAATTATTTTATGTAAATTTTCAACGTCAATTAAAACAATGAAAGGGAAGTTTACATAAAGAACTATGAACTATAAATCCAAATCCTTTATAATAAAAATGTATTTAAAAACTCGTAATCAATGAAATAATATTTTTTAACTCCAAAAATAGTACTCTAAAATTTGACAAATGAAGAGTGACATTAATTATTGTTACGGATTATCAAAGGGCGAAAGCATCGTCAAGAAACTTTACAGCTTGTTTGGATGGTTGTTACCAATGATATTATATCGTATTGTTACTTTAAATACAATATTTATTTTGATTATTAATTAAATTTTATTGTATTGTATCGTTAAATTCATCGTCACATAATGACAAAAAATATCACTTTATGGAACGACGGATTTGGTGGGGTGACGTCGTTTCCTTGCTTTTTTCTCTCATCTTGCCCTTCCTTATTATTAAATAATCATATTTTATTATTTGCTCTACTTTTTTATCTAATAATTCTACTGTATATCCAATTTTATCCTAGTAATATTGCAAACCTTTTTATATTGTTAGTGCGTGACACCATGAAATGACAATAATGATACCATCTGTCCAAACGTTGTATCTATCAAATAAAGCAGTACAATGCGTATAATACAATACGATACATATAAAACGACATGTAATAACGATCCAAACAAGCCGTTAAGGCACTACATTGAATAAGAGATAAATTAATATGAATTTGATTTAAATTTATTTGGTATGATTTAAAAAACCCAGAATACTTAAAACACGGGAAAAAAAAGAGAAATACTTAAAACACACGGAAAAAAAAAAAAAAAAGCGAAATACTTAAAATACGAAAATTGAATTGAAAAAACAAAAAACAAAAAAACACTTGTACGAGCTTGTATACTTGCTCCTATATCTCCACAGTTGATGGCTTCAGTACTGCTGCATTGAAGATGGTACCAAAGGAATACTCAATACAAGACTTTAACTTGTTTGGATCTATAAAGCCTTTCTCCACTACAATTGCAACTCTAAGCTTGTCCACATAACTCACCATTGTCACTGATAGACTCTGCAAAACACATTATCAAAGGCGGGTTCAGTGAGTTCAACTGAATTCATTGTTTCGGCTCAAACTACGTATATATATACATGCTAAGCAAATTTAAAATGCATTCATATCCTTCTGAATTCATTTACTCTAGATTTTGTATTCACAAGTAATACTTAAGTGGAGCTAGAGTATGACGAACAGGTTCGGACGAACCCAGTAACTTTTGGTTAGACCATATATTTGTATTAGAAAATTTATTAAATACGTATATATAAATATTTAATTGCAAACTCAATATAATTAAGACGAGCTATAATTTTGTTGACAAATATAAAATGTATAAACTTTAAATCCTGGCTCTGTATAATATTAATCACAAAGTCTTTACACAAAAGGGTACCTGAGGAGCACCAGCAACAGCAAAGTAAAGTCCTTTTATAGGGTGGTTTGCCAAAGCCATATCTTCCAATGGTCCAATCAGATTTGTAATTCCCATGCTCGTGTGCTTCAACGTTGCATGAATATATTTAGCTGTTGTCTGTAGTTATCCCATTTAATGTGAGCTTTAGACTAAACAATTAGAAAAAATTTCATTTAAATAAAACAAAAAAAGAGATGGAACGATTGTACTAGCATATAAATTGTTAGATTTTCGAAGCATTAACGTGGCGAGTGACATGTCAAAAATTGTTTCTTCTCAGTATATAATATAGGTAAAGAAAAGGCAGCCTGGTGTACTAAGCTCTCGCTATGCGCGGGGTTCGGGGAAAGGCCGGACCATAAAGATCTATTGTACGCAGTTTTATCCTGCATTTCTGCAAGAGGTTGTTTCCACGGCTCGACCCTGTGACCTCATGGTCACATGGCAACAACTTTACCAGTTACACCAAGGCTCCCCTTCTAAGCAGAAGCGGACCTATGCAATAAGTACCGAGGTCACCGGCACCCCTAAAGTTTGGCAAAAATTTAATGTAAACATGTATATGTCTTTAGAAAATAGTAATATATTAATAGTGGGAATTCTATATAAAAAACAGATTTTGGTTGAATCATAAAGTGTACCCGCGACCTTCAAATCATGAGTTCGCCTCTGCTTCTAAGTATATGTAATAACCACTAAAAAACAGGAACTAGACACGGATAAATTCTGTAGCTAAACAGCAAAATTCGTCGCTAATTCTACTTAGCGATGGATCAGCGACAAATTATCAAAATATTTTTTTGGGTACGAACAATTTAGCGATAAATTAGCGACGAAGGTAATTCTAGCTTTTTTAGTAGTAACTAGACATACCTCAGGACCTTCAACTTTTCTCAAGATTTCAAGCAGCCTACCAGTGAGAAAAACAGATGCAGAATTCCTTTGCCTCTTAATAATACGACGGGCATTTTGAACAAATCCAAGAGGATTAAGTGAATCAGTGGAAGTTAATTTGGGCAGTGAAACAGGCAAGAAAGTGAAATGATTTCCCCATGGCATTTCTGAATTAGGTTTAATCATTTCACTTACTGATTTGTAACCTCCAACAGCTCTAGTGTTGAATAAAACCAGTGCAGTACATTTTCCATTGCTAGTTTCTTTGTTTATTCCTTGCATGTAAAGTCTTGTGCCGTATAATACTACTCCAGTAATCACGTCATTTATTGTCTGCAAACATTCAGGAAAAAATATTATACTAGGAGTACTAGTAATTAAAATAACCGTCAATCTTCCATTTTACGCCGAACAAAGGCGACTTCATACCTAGGGCTCGAACCCGATACCTCTAATTAAGGATGAAGGAGTACATGCTACCGTACCCTTGTTATAGCCTGTTTGGCCAAGCTTCTTTTTGGTCAAAAGTGCTTTTTTTTTTGCCAAAAGCACTTTTAGCCAAAAATTGAGGTGTTTGGCCAAGCTTTTGGAAGGAAAAAAAGTGCTTTTGAGCAGAAGCAGAAGCAGTTTTGGAGAAGCAGAAAAAAGTAGTTTCTCTCCAAAAACACTTTTTTGAGAAGCACTTTTGAGAAAAATACACTTAGAAGCAGTTTTTTAAAGCTTGGCCAAACACTAATTGCTGCTCAGAAGTGCTTTTCAAACTAATTAGCCAAACACAAACTGCTTCTCACCAAAAGTACTTTTGAGAAAAACACTTTTGAAAAAAAATACTTCTCAAAATAAGCTGATTTTTGCAGCTTGGCCAAACGGGCTGTTAGTCTAATTTATACTTCTTCCTTTATCCTTAATGGTATGCCGCCTTACTTAACTAATACTCCCTCCGTTCCAATTTATGTGAACCTGTTTGACTGGGCACTGAGTTTAAGAAAAAATAAAAACTTTTGGAATTTGTGGTCCTAAACAAGTTAAAAAGGGGCCCAGATTATTTGTGTGGTTATAAAAGTTTCTCATTAAGAGTAAAATCGTAAGTTTAAGCTAAATTGTTACCAAATTTAGAAAGGGATCATTCTTTTTGGACCGGACAAAAAAGAAAATAGGTTCACATAAACTGGAACGGAGGGAGTACTATAAATTTAGAAAATCGTTTTTTTTTTCTTAAATTCTGTGCTCAATCAATTTCCGTCACATATATTGAAGCAAGAAAAAACAAACTATATCAGACGATTTTTATGTTCTATTTTCACGGGGCGGAGCTTCTTTTTCACCTAATTGGGCTTCGTTTTGGTTCCCAAATTAGGGTTTAGCTTCTATATACGGGCATCTATATATACATTTTAAAATTATTACGTCATTTAAAAGAAAGCGTCACTAAAATTGATAATTTGAATTATAAGGCAGGTAATTTCTTATAGTATGTAAATATTTCTCAACTTTTGAAAGCATTCATTTTCTGACCCCAAATTTTTTTTTTAAAAAAAAAAGGAAAAGTAAACATTCATTGAGTCATCAGTAGATACTAGATAGTATAAGTAAAATTCCTCAAATTAATGTCTATGATACAATTAGGCCTGCAAGGACGGCCGACAAATTCTTAGAGTTGAATTTCACCGAAGATTTTCTTTTAATTTGACGCCGAAATTTAACATAATTTTTATTAAATGGGTTTTCGAGAGAAGTTTTATTTTGTGTCTCATACAACTGACACTAGTTGTATGAGGCTCCTTTTTGTCTCACAAATTTGTGGACCCCAATCTTACACTTCTGGGTCCACAAATTTATGAGACAAAAAGATTGCCTCATACAACTAGTGTCAGTTGTATGAGATACAAAATAAAATTTTCCGGTTTTCGATGTGGCATAATAGTAGGTTCGTCATTAATGTGGCAGTTACTAGCAAGTGACAATCATAGATCATACCACTTAATTCTGTTTTTTTTTTGTGGGTACATCTTAATTCTGTTAATGTACTAACTAATTTGTCGTAAAAACTTATTTGCATCTGATGTTTCTATCAAATTATACTAAATTACCATGGTTAAGTGATGAATTAAGATAAAATATGTATTAATCAATTAAATATGACTTAGTAATAACCATGTTGATGAAGACATAACCATGCATGTTTGCGAAGACATGTATCATGTATTTATTGGGTTGGTGTCACCCCATGCGAGTAAGATTTTGCCATAATATGCGGTCCAACTTCAATTTTCAAAGACTTTAATTTTTATGTATTGATAGTATAAAAAGTATTTGTTGAGGTTACTTATAATATAATTGCAGATAAATCTTTAGAAAAGACATTAATAAGTAATCCGATAAAAATAATAAGCAATCTGCTACAATAGATTAAACTACAACGATTGCAAAATAAAAAATAAAAAAAATTGTGCGTCATCTGTGTATATAAGCTAAATCGTCATTCAAAATTTTCTGGCGCGAGCTAAAAGTGATAATACCCCTTAATTTGTTGCAAATTTTGTGGTTTTTTTTTTTTTTCATTTCATTTCAGGAAACTATTAGAAATACCAAATATAAATCAAGAATATATTCAGAAACTTACCACTTTGAGATTGGCCTTGATCTGCTTGATGCTCTCTAAAGAAAACGTTGTAGTAGCAATCTCAATCGGCCGGAATTCAACTCCGTCATCACCTGATCTTATCGGCGTCCGATCGTCTTCGATCAACGTACTTTTCAGAACACTCAACCCAAAATCTTGAACAGTATTAACCAGCTTCATAATAACATTAGGTACACATTTCACAATATTAATAGCTTTATTTTTTGTACTCAAAATTGTCCTTTGACGTGAAGGAAATGTTAAAGGAAGTGATGGATTGTCAACTCTTTGTAAACAAGAAAGAAGTGCACCCATTAATGAATATCCATCTCCAAGTGAATGATGTAACCTGAAAATTAAATTTCCAGCTGCGTTACTTGTTGGGTATTTTAATAAGTGAATTTCCCATAATGGTTTATTTTGTTGGAATGGATCCATTGATAATTTTGATAGGTAATTGGAAAAATATTCGTCGTAGAAAATAAGTGATTGTTCAGCTGGAAATATTGGGTTTTTTACATGGTCTTCAATGTTTACTTCAACTTGCTTCCATTTCCTCGCACCTTTCTTTTCTGTGACCTATTAGAGAAGATAGTAATTAGTAAAAGCTAATATATATATATATATATATATATATATATATATATATATATATATATATATATATATATATATAAGAGGTATAAGAAGTAAATTATCACGCTATTAAAAGGTATAATAAGTCGAATTAGTAACTTGAAAAATAAAACAAGTAAATTTTTAGAGAAATTTTCATAAAGCAGTAGTACAGTTTAGAGCCTAATTACCATACGTAACTATAGTTTGCCTAATTACCATTTGCAACTACTGTTCAATTGTTACCAGCTTGTACCACTTGTATTCAGACGCGCAATTAATACAACCTATATCAACTATATTCGTTCGCGCAACTAATTAATACAACCAAGGCGAAATAAAGAAATTCAAGAAAAAATAGCATGCTCTCACAGAGAGTCGACTCAAGACCTCCGCTTACTAAGCAGACACTCTAACCAATTGAACACCGAGAGCTTGTGGCTCTCTTGTTTTAGTTCAAAATAATTGATATTTTGTTTTAACACAATAATTGGATTTATTATAAAAATTAAATATAGCTACGAATAGTAATTTTCTAAAAGTATAGCTACAAATAGTAAATAGAGTGTATATCTTTGATATCTCATGTATTTTTCCAGATTTTTATAGTAGATTTGTTGTAATATTGCTATTTGATCGGATTCACCCATAAAGGGTACTAATTAGCCAATTAGCTTGTTCTCCTCATAAACCCTACTCTCTGTCTATATATATATATATATATATACACCCCTCCAATTAAGTGGGTTGGAAAAGATATGTTTTTTCTATCAATATATAACGGCTAGGGTTTCTATGAGAAAATCTTCTCTGCATCTTAGAAGGATTAGTAAGCTGTAGATAAAGGAAGTTCATCCACTTCGGGAGGATTTCTGTCGACCGGTGACATAAGTCGTGGTTGCTGCAGATCTATTTCTGCTAAGGAGAAACCCGTAAATCTCCTAATCTAATATTTACAGGCTAAATAATACAAGATTAAATTGGCCAATAGTAAGTAGAGATGGCAAATCAAGCCGCCTATACTTGTGTTGACAGTATTATTATATAAATGAAAGGGAATTGAAGGACCTAGTAACTTTCTAAAACAAGTTCAACAAGCAAATAAAGCTCCATAAATCAAGATGTCATGGTAAAAAATATGGCTAGTAATTTAAATATTTAAAGAATAATATATGAAAGCATAAGTCATATTAAGAGAAAGAGTGAATCATACCATGATTGAGGAAAAACGTGGATTTATAGGCAAGAAGACATCCTTAAGTAAAGAAAAGACCTTAGAATCTTCAATTTCAATTGGAATTTTTGATTCCAAAACAACAATAACAGATAGAGACAAATTCGAACTGTTCAAATATTGTGAGCTTGGACTTGCTGGCCTTTCCCAATATGTTTCTTCCATTTTTATGTCCATAATTTTCTCACTCAATGGTATATATAATGAATATTTGGAATGTAAGTTACTATAAATAGATGAGAGAGACAGAAAAGGAATTATTATATACTTGTGTGGTCGAAATGAATGATACTTACATTTCTTAATTGTGATGCATGATATTTATTACTTTGATGGGCTGAACATAAAATTGTCTACTCAATAATGAAGTGCTTTTATTTTTTTAAAAAATTAAATGACATACATGTTACACGTGTCTCTATGTGATAATTAACAACGGAAAAAAAATAGAATTTTGATATGTTACAGTTGGGATTAAAATAGTTCATTGAGTGGGCTAAAAATTCTTTATTTCTTTCTTCTATTGGGTGCGCGAACAAAATTTTATATTAGTAGCTGAAAAGATTGCGAGCTTATATATAAGGTGTGTGAATCTCTTAATGGTGAGCCTTTTTTAGAAAAACCGTGCAAGCTTGGTCCAAAGTAAACAATACCACACCATATTAAGAGTATCCGCGGGCTATTTCAGCCCAACAAATGATATCATAGTCCAAGTACGACGGGAGAAGTATGGCGATAGCTGAGTGTTGATGCGGAGGCCATGTGGAACTTAATTCGAAGGGGGTCTAAGGCTAGGAAAAATTGTAAAAATTTACCCCAAAACAGACAATATCGCACAATATCTTCGAACTGGTTGAGCCCAACATCTTCCATCTTTGCTTTCCAATAATGGAAACATAGTTCGAAAATATTTTCTTTTTAAAAATCAGTGTGGCTTTCCATTCTTTTTCGAAAACAAACGCCACCAATTATTATTCTTAGTTATAAAATTTGCTGATGATTAAGTTAATGGTAAAGCAAATGAGGAGTACTATTTGATTTTTCTGCAAAATTCAACGTATTGAATTTCAAGTGGCGTTTTTTATAAGCGGTGTCACTATCTAGCAGTAGGCCCGTAACAGTCAAAAAATATTTTGTAGTGTCAAGGGAGGTTGAACCCAAGACTTCTTATATCAAACTTGAAGCTATCAACCACTAAATTATTGAGCTATTTTGATGCAAGTGACGTCACTTTTAATGGATTTATCTCGTATTTCTATTTTACTTATTATTTTTATATATATAAATAGTAAAAAAATTCGACGAAGCGGTGTCCCGGGACACCGCTTGGGTCCGTATAAACCCGCCCCTATGAATTTCAATAAAAATAAAAATAAAGACAAACTCATTAATAGCTCCACCTATACTTGCAATTATTTGTCTACTTTAATATTTTTGTGTCCCTTATCCCCTAAACCCCAAGCTAGAATCCTAATGAGCTCTATAAACGACGCTAACCAATCTGCCAAACCTATAGAATTATGGAAAGTAAGGCTTCTTACCTTATGTGGTGCATTTTGACTAAGCATAAAGTTTAGAAAAGATTTTTTAAAATAAATTTATTATCTAAAACAAGCCATAATATTTTTGTGGCTATAAATTATTAAGAGTAAAATTAATATAAGAATAAAATTAAGAGTCATTTAGAGTAAATTTAAAATTAATGTTTAAAGTAAAATTACTTTTGAATATAAAAAAGTATTATTTTTGTTGGGGCAAGCTAAGCAAGAAAGTATATCACATAAATTGAGATAAATGATTAAAAGAGTGTAATAAAGGTAGATAACCAAAGAGAGTACTCTAGAAAATTATTGAGCTGATTTAAACTGTACTTAAACACTACTATAGAGAATATAATAGAAATAGGTAATTAATCAAAGAGATTCTCAAGTGTAAACAAAACTAGTAAGGAGAAAAGAAAATAGAAAAAAGAAAAAAGAAAAAAGAAAAAAGAAGAGATGAATGGTCAATTCGGCCTGAAAGATGTGCCACATCACCTCTCCTACAACTATATACATATAATTATTTTTTATTTTTTTGGAACCCCAGGAAAATCCGCAGTCGCTACAGCCTCTGCCACAGCCTCTGCCCTTCGGGTGAGCACTCTGTGGTGAGCACTCTGTGCGTACTGAATAAATCCCCCACTGTGTGATAGCCCGCAAACCACACGGGGAACTTATTTTATCAGAGCAATTTGTTGATCATAATTTGTTGTTCCAATAAATGAACATTATTTTAAAGCAGTCCATGCTAGCTACTCAAACCTCATTGGATTGGTTGAGAATAAATACCGAAGGGACAAAATGGTTATGGCGTATGGCCCGTATTTTAAAAATTAGAAGAATTAATTTAAGTAGTTGCCTACACAACTACGTGTATAACAGTATAATGTATAATATTAGTATATAATTTATATATACTGACTATGAAAATAAATAGTGAATTCGATGGATTGTTTATGTAAAGATCCTAAATTATCATGTTTATTTAATTTTAGTTCATTTTGTAACTTCTCAACAACAGAAAAACACCTAGTTGCAAATATAAGGAAGGAGTTAATGTTCTACGCACTGTCATTTAAGGAATTTTATACTATCAGATTAAGTTGATATAATAATTCTTCATATATAGCCTGATATGATAATTTGAAAAATAAAGTAAAGAATGACTTGTAATAATCGATTAAATTATAATAAACGTAAAAATATTTATATTGTTATATAATTTAAACTCATAAAAAAATGTCACGCCTAAGCAGGGGCGAAGCTACGTTGATCCAAGGGTGGTCAACTGAACACCCTTCGTCGAAAAATCATATTACGTATAAGGTAAAATATTAGTTGTTACTGATTAAAAGTAGACTTTGAACACCCTTGCATAGCCCACTGGCAAAGGGTGTTCAAAATTTGAACACCCTTATCGAATTTCCTGGCTTTGCCACTGCGCCTAAGGCTTGGACAAGGGCGAATCCAGGATTGAAGTTTATGGATTCTGACTTTATCATCAAACGCATAATTCGTCTTAGTTATTATTCGTAATAAAATATTTATATATATTTAATTAATTTTGTTACATAAATATAGAATCCAAGTAAAACCTTTCGGTCGAGCTCGTACCTAATACTCTAGATCCGCCTCTGAACTTGGGTGCCCGAGTTATGTGGTTGTATGTCTACGTTATTGAAGCATTATTGTGCAGCCACAATTGATTAACGATCCTAAGTATGTCGACCTCGCACATAGAGTCTTTTTCCATTTTCACATTGCAGCTATTCACAAATTCCTTTGTAGCCATGTAAAGAAAATTGATATCAAGTCTAAGAAAGACTCTAGAGCACGTGCTTTAAATATTAGTAGTATCTATTTTTCAGTAGAAATGACACCAGGTAGCCATTCTAAAGAGCTATTATTAAAATTACTCAATATATATTGAATTTTAGTTTTTCATTTCAATTTTTTAAGACATTTATGTCCTGAATTGTCCTGAATTTAAAATTTTAATTTGACTTTTCAGGATAAAATAAGTATTGGATAATTCTTAAATAGCAGCCCTAAAAATGGCTATTTGTGTACTTCCTCCCTATTTTCACGTGGCTGCTATTCCAAGTTCCTTTGTAGCCCACTAAATAATATTGTCATCGAGTCTAAGAAAGACTCAAGATTTCCTCCCTAGTCCTACTAATTCATTCAAACCCCGGTCGTGATGGCGCCCAACACACTGCTAGGCAAGTCCGACCAATTTCATAACTTTAACCATTTATACAACTCACGAATTACTTAACCTGGATGAATTACTAAATCACAATACTGAATATCTGAAATAAAGTTAAAACATGTGGAAAACCCAAGTAGAAATACTACTACACAGCCCGAAGAATCCGGTGTCACAAGTCTGAGCCTCTAATATACGAGTGTCAACCTACTACATAATGTTCTGAAGAAATGCGGAATAAAAATAAATAGGATAGATGGGAAGATCAGGACTGCGGACGTCATGCAGCTACCTTGATGCTCCCGGATGTGATGCTCAACAGAGAAAAGTCTCACTCAGCCTCAGTGGGTGCACCTGAATCTGCACACAAGGTGCAGGGAGTAAAGTGAGTACTTCCAACTCAGTGAGTAATAAACATAAATAAAGACTGAGAATAAGAAGTCCCGAATAAGCACAAAGTAGTTCTATAAATACAGCAACTCGAACCCAGCAGCATGAACTCAATAAATCAATCAAAACGCTTAAGGAAATACCACAACAGATAAATAAGTAGATGCCAATCAAATATGCAATGCAACACATAAACCGATACTCTCCAGTACCCGCTGCGGTGTGCAGCCCGCTCCATTTATTTATCGTCGACGGCGCTCACTGGGGGTGTGCAGACTCCGGGAGGGGCCCCTTACGGCCCAAGCGCAATAATAAGCCATCTCGTGGCATCAACCAGGCCCTTGGCCTCATATCAATATCAATACAGTACCGCTGCGGCGCGCAGCCCGGTCCATAATCAGTCCAAAATCACATAAGCCCCTCGGGCATAACAATATAGAAATATTCGGCCCAAACTTCCTTTGAAAATATTAATTAAGTTTCAAGTGAGAGAAAAGTGGCTGAGTTTGCAAAACAGTATTAAATACTAGGACTGAGTTCAATTATATGTAAAAATGGTAAGAAACCAGTAAGAGCAATCCCTGAAGGATTCAATCAGTTGGCACGAGGCCCAATTATGACAATTAATCCATTTTTATAAGGATATCAACTAAGCTTCAATCAATTAGGTAGTAATTTTATTAAGCGGGACGGACCAAGTCACGATCCCCGACGGTGCTCTACCCCACGCCCGTTATCCGGCGTGCAAGTCACCTCAACATAGCACTACAATGTGCAAATTCGGGGTTTCAAACCCTCAGAATAGCATTTACATCTATTACTCACCTTAAGCCGGCCAAAAGTCTAGCTCGCTATGCCCTTGCCTCTCGAATCGACCTCCTCGCGCGCCGAATCTGATCAAAACCACAACGAATACATCACAATGTGCCAAAGGAACAATACCCAATCGAAAACAATCGAAAAATAGCGAAAATCTCGAAATTAGCAAAACCCGAGCCCCGGGCCCACTTCACGAAA